ACAAGATTTGTATCATTGTATCATTACACTATTGTTCTCTGTATAAGATTACATCATCTAAGTTTGTTCATAGAACAAAAGAAAGAACTTCACAAGTTCTTATATTTTATTGTATTGTATTTATCTTCTTAGTGAGAGTTATTAGAATCTGTACTTGTAAACCAACATTGACTGTGTTTGTATATTATAAAGAGAATTAAACCACTTGTATTGTTTAACACATGAGAGTTAAACATTATAGACAAATGTCTAAGATTGATACCAAGATTGGTAAAAATACCTAGATAGTAGGAGTTGTTAAACTCAGACTGGTCAGGATTGGTTAGAGGAACCAAGAGTGGTTAATAATACTTGGTGTATACTAGGAGTGGTTTGTATTTGGTTGTCATCTTCTATGAGATTTGTGGAACCTCTTATGACTTCTTAATGGTCTATTTGTTTGAGCGAATGATACTATGTATGCAGATTGACAAAGATGGAAACAAGAAATATTTGATATTAACATAATGATATTGTTGAAAGATTTGCAAGATTAATCACCAAATTCCATCTCGTTTATCAAGAGAGATTTGAAAGAGTTTAGACATTTTTATTATATTATCCCTTCTCTTTTTAAATAACTTACTAAATGATGATGTTTTTGTATGACAAAAAAATATATTTTTTCTTTGTTTCTAAAAATGAACGCACATGATAATAATGCTAATACTAATAATATATATATATATATTAATACTCTTCAAATTCACCTTGTAATGTTTTTCTATAATTTTAAAAAAGACACATAGTAATATAATTTTTAACTTTTATAATTTGTGTCTATCTCAATACATAACTCTGAACCTCCTACAAATTTAGATAACAATTGCTTATTAATTGGAATTTGAATATCGACTGGTACTTAAAAAGAATAATAATTAATTAGTTTGTGGTTAATCTAAATTTCTTTAATGGTGCGCTTAGTACAAAGAATAAGAATGGTCTACAAAGTGACACGTGTCTGGCGCTTAGGCAAACGCGCAGTATAGTCCAATTGCGCGGGCTAAAGGATGGAAAAGGGAAAAGGCGTTGGCTTTTCCACAGTTTGGTGAGGAAGCCTCGTACACTTTTCCTGGTTGGCAAGCAAACGGATACGAAAATTCCAATCTCCTTCATACGACATTGACATACCCGTTGTTTCTCTTACTTGCCTCTCATCTCCTTCATTTTAAATATTATTTTTAACCATTACCAAAAACATTTGTTTTTAACCGTATTTTCAGTTTCTATAATTTCAATTAAATTCGATTTGATTGTTTTAAACTCAAGATTAATATTTACAATGTAGACATCCTTATTCCTTGACATAATCAGAATACAACCTACTCAATCCGTATACATGTATTTTAAACAGATTTGATTTACTTATTTATAATTATCAAAATAAATATTTTAAAAAAAGAAAATTAAAATGATATGAAGGCATACTAGAAATACAATATCACGTAGACTGTCGTGTAAATAATTTATAATTTGTAATTATATAAAATATTTAAAATAAACATTTTCAAATAAAAATAATATAAATATACATTTTGAATGTTTTAGCTCAATTTAAGAGATTTAAGAAACGTTTATTTCGGGTTATCATGATAGATTTTCAAGAATCATATTTCTAATTAGAAATGCTTCTCCTATATATGTCTAAATGCATAACTTTTGATATTATTATTAGGAATAAATTTTGTTTCGGTTGTGGGGCTGAGTCGTCTATCACCTCCGTGTCTCTCTTTGCCGTCCGTCCGCTATCTACTCTTTCTTCCACTCTTGTGCCTGCGGATGGGGAAAGACCTGCCAAAGATTCTCCGATGACAAAGTTAGTTTGAGAGCAATGAAGTTTTCAATAGTACAGTAATGAATGTGCAATAAATGAAACCCCCTACCCCACTCACCTTCGACCTGTATTTATAATTTTTGTTATGGGCTTGAGATTAGTGAAAGGTTAATCACGGTCCAACTTCGGCCTAATAGCTCTTAGCAGCTACTTACCTTAATCTTGATCTTAATCTGGTCAACTAGTAGTAGGACCGGCCGACCTCCTAATATTTGGTTTTACAGCCGACCGACACACATGGGTTGTTCATCCAGGTCATGAGCGGTAAAATCGCGTAATTGGGTACTGGTCATACAGACGTCCGGTCCACACGCTCTCCGGTCTCTATTGGTACACATCCATAGGGGCGCTCGGTACATATGATAACCGGTCTTTATGGTACACATCCATATGAACGTCCGGCCAATATGATAACCGGTCCCTATTGGTACATAACCGGTCCATATGCTGTCCGGTCCCTACCAGTACACATTTTAAATAGAAAACTAGAGGTTAAAGTGAGATTATGTGAAATGAATTTTCCACTTTCTTATATTATTAGAAAATAGAATTTTCCTACACCGTTTATAAAAGAATAATAATTAATTATTATTTTTTAAATAAATGTTTCCAAAATTCAGGAATTTTTTAACAAATATTCTAATCTTTGTACTTTTCAAACATGCAAAAGATTGGTGAAAAAGAAGGCTTATTTAAATAGATACTTATTTATTTTCCAAAACTTCTACCTCATTAACTCACATCACACAGAACACAAAAACACAGTTTCTCTTCAAAGCAGTTGGTTAGTGCTCTCTTCTTCCTTTCTTCCTTCGAGGTAAATAACCTCACTACCGCTCCTCTCCCCGTTTTCTCCAAAACTGCATCTCAACCCTTCATCTACTCTGTTTCCGTTCTCTTTCGATGCGTTTTAGCTCTCACTCATCAATTGAATTATCTCTTTTTTAATTCATCATCTAACGGTGATGGATGTTCACAATTTCGCTTGAATTTCGATATGTTTCATAATTTTTTATCATCGTTGATGCAGGTAGACGGTTTATTGAATATGTAAGAGTGACATGTCGATTATGCCTTGAATGAAATTATTATTATTATCGTTATTATTTTTATTATTGTTATCTACAACTATATATAGTTATTTAATCATCTTTGGAAGGGGTTGTTAAATTTCGGAATGAACACTTCATTTTGGGTTTAAGAAATGAACCAAAATTTTGGGATCAAAAGTTTACTTTGGGTATAAGAAATGATCCTCTTTTGAAGGAGAGATATTTTTGCCGACAAGTTAAATTGCGGTGGTACTTTTGAAAATTTTCTGGGAACAAGTCCATGCATAACAGTGACAGTAGCTGAAAAGATTATATTAAACATTCCAAATACTAATTTCAATAAATTTGAGCTAAGGGCTACTTTATTGAGATGTTAAATAATATCAAAGTTGTTTTGTTCTATATGTTTACTAATTACTAGTATCGCACTGCTCTACATGCTCTTTCTGTATTTTACTCTGTTTTCTTTTGTTTGACTCTATGGGTTCTTGATTTGCTTGATTATGTGTTGTAGCTTGCCTAAGAGAATGGGGTGGGGAGATATTTACAGAAGACGGATTAGGGTATTTACTATGGCTATAGTAATATACCTAGATTATAAGGTGAATTTTGTTGCTTACGTCAGCTTTTTTGTCTTTGAAATAAGTAAGTCTATTGAGCTTTTATTCTCTTCAATTGATCTTCATAGGGTGTACAACAACGTGACAAATGGACTAGCAAATCTAGACAAGCTGCATTGTGGGAGAAGGCTCACGAGCGTAATGCTAAGCGTGTTCTAAATTTGATAATAGAGATGGAGGGCTTATGGGTTAAACTTGGGCAATATATGTCAACTCGCGCAGATGTGCTTCCTGCTGCTTATATACGTCTTTTGAAGCAGTTACAAGACTCTCTTCCTCCTAGACCCTTGGAAGAGGTTTTTCATCAAATATTTTATTTAAAAATTGTTTTAGTTTGTGCTATGGATGAAAAAATACATTTAGGAAAACATATACATTGTGTGATTTTAATAAAAATTCCTGCAAATTTTGAGCATTGGAGATGACTTTGTTCGTTAAGTGCATACTATAAGAATTAAATTTTTTGTACTTTTGTTGGCTGTGAAATTATCACTTTGCTGTTGAAAATAAAACTGTTAGTTTGGTGTTGACAATCTTTGAACAAGAATAAGGGCCTCATTTGCTAATCTACTTGAGAATTTCAGTTTATTTCTAGAGTCACTACTGCTTCTAGACTTCTGAATTTAGTTTATACATGCAAGGTCTATGGCAACATACAGAAAGAGTTGGGGAAATCAATGGATGAGTTATTTGCTGATTTTGTGAACGAACCTTTGGCAACAGCATCAGTAAGATTTTAAGGATATTTTTGCTACTAGAGGATGATTATACAACAGATAAAAAATATTTGTAAGTTCATTGTTTTCTTTAATTTAGCTGGGTGAATTGTATCCCTTTGACACATTTATGCAGATAGCACAAGTGCACAGAGCAACTCTGCTCAATGGACAGGAAGTGGTAGTTAAAGTTCAACATGATGGTATCAAGACAGTTATACTGGAGGTTTGTTTCTTATTCTTTGGATATATAGATAAATAGGTCAATGGAGCCTTTCAAAAGATTTTTATGCATACATTTTTCTTTTCAGGACTTAAAAAATGCAAAGTCAATTGTTGATTGGATTGCGTGGGCTGAACCACAATATAACTTTAACCCTATGATTGATGAATGGTGCAAAGAAGCTCCTAAGGAACTTGACTTCAATCATGAAGCCGGTATTTTCAGATCTTTTCTTTAGTTTGAATTTGATGCGGTAGATCTAAATTTATACTTGAGAATATCTTTGGTCAATTTTGTCTACGGGTTTAGCACAAACTTTCTTAAAGGTATTATTTGAACAATATGTTTAGAAATTTATGATTTATAGTCATTGATGGCTTATGACAAAGTATTATATTTTGAAAACCACCTTTATTGTGGTATTTCCTACCCGGCTTAGTTATGGTTAGTTTAGGAAATTTCTTAATTCAATCTTAAGGGTGGTATTTAGTTCCACAGGGATTAGAGATATGCTTGATTGTCAGACTTGAGATTCTATAGACTAGGGAGGTCTTGTAGACATTACTCGTAGACCCAACTCATAGACTTGTAAGAGTCATCAATATCAAAAAGAGAATATAGACCATACTAGTTCAAAATTTAAACACCTTATTTAATCAATAGTTCCATAATTCTAAAATAACTAAGTTTAACACACATGACTATTATATAAGTTCAAACTATTCTCAATACATGAGTTCATACAATCATGAAAAAGCAATTTGTAAGGCCACCATAAAATTTAAATAACTAAAAGTGGAAAAATATCTTATCCTTTAATGATATCATCTCGAAGATCATCATCATCTTCATCACCGTCTAGCTCTACCTTAGATAATAAGTGTGCTACATCAATATTGCCAAAAAAAACTGTATTGACAAGATCAAATGCTTCTAGAATTTGACTAATTGAACTTTGTTCAATTATGGCAACATTTTCACCATACTTTCACCTTGAACTTGCTCAATCTCAACATTATCCCCATCTTTATTTATATATTTATCATCCGACTCATTATCATAAAATAGGAGAACAACAATTTTTCTAATTTGTTTATTTTTAAGCTCTAAGTTATCCTTGACATAAATAAAGTCATTGATCTTTTTCTGATGCAAACTGTTTCTTCTTTTTGTATGAACCTATAAATACATATGAACTTTTAAAAACTATATAAACCAAATAAAGAAAATTAAAAACCAATAATAACTTGGCAAACTTAAATTACCATTTCAAATGAGCTCCGATTACATTCATGACCAGAGGAACTGCATGTCAAACTCAAAACTCGAATAGCAAATCTATTCAATTATGGAGTTCCATCCCCAAACATTTCCTACAATCTTTTTGCATTTTCTGTAGAAAAAGGTTCTCTAGTATAATGAAAGTCATTAAGTTGCAAATTAGTTATTTTCCTTTCTGCAACGTTCTCAACCAATCCTCTCATGTATATATACAACCTTTCTTTTAACTTAGGGTCATGATTTCTGAAATTAGGTTCATTGTAAAAGTTCGGGTTAAGGTAATATGTAGCCGCATGTAACCTTTGAAGCTAATTATCCCACCTCTCATAAATTGTTTTCCAAATAGGTTCTTAACTATGCAAGTACCACTGATTCTATGATAGAAATAATTACAAAAAATAAATAATTAAATTTTAAAAGAGAAAAGGTTTAGAAATTTTACCTTAATATTATTAAGTTAAGTTTCATCTTCTCTTTGCACAATCCATTTCTTCATATATGACATCATTGCGGGTTTTATATCTAAATCCACTAGTCAAAGGATTACATTGAAAGGGGCAACAACTTTGAGGCAAGTGGTTACATTCTTCCAAACTCGACTATCTATTCACAACTTTTCTTCCCTATATTGAAGTTCCAAACTTGCTATGTTTTCACTCTTCAAAGCTAAACAGGCTCATCAACGGTGCTTTCAACTCCTCAAGACATGCTAGAACTCGTGGGAAATCTATACATGCTATGTCTTATCAAGTCTCATCAATGGTCCTTTCAACTCCTTCATGTTATTACCATATCTATTCTAGGAGGATGCCTAAGATCCTAGTGGTATAACCACCATAATTGGGATAGAAGCAATTGATACTAAGAAAGAAGAAGAAATTTTTTACTGAAAAATGTCAAGGAAATCAACTTGTTTTGACTCTAGAGCAAGAAAGGCTTTTGACTCGGAGGTGAGGAACCTTAGAGATAATAGTGAAGAAGTAAACTTACTGGGAATTTACCTATTGCATTCAAAAGAGAGAAAAAAACTGTGTTAAATATTCTATTTCTCAAAATGTCTGCATTAACAATCTCTCTAGTAGAATCAAAGCATTATTGTTGCCATTGATGCCACAAAAATTTCTACCTTAGTAGTCCAAGAAGCCATTAAAAGTGAACATTGGACTCAAGCCATGAAAGAGGAGATGAATGCAATAGAAAGAAACTCAACATGACAGACTATTGACAGACTAAGACAAAAAGATTGTAGGATGCAAATGAATATTTATAATGAAGCATAAGGTGAATGTTTTACAGGTAAAACGCTTGATTAAGGGATATAGTCAAACTTATGAAATGGAATACGAGAAGTTATCTCTTATAGCCAAGATGAATACAATTTGAGTTGTTTTTGCTGTAGAAGCTAATAGTGGAAGAATTAGTTATAGTGTTATTGAGAATTGCTTATGGATGTGCCATGGTGGAAACGATGGCGGTTTTGTAGTTTGCCCCCACAACATGGTGGTGGCGATGTGGGTTTGTCATGGTAGCCGTTGGTGGTGGCGATGTGCGTTTGTCATGGCAACCCATGGTGGCGGCTGTTTTTCATCATGGTTAGCTAGCTTGGAACGAAGATGGTAGAAAAGGTTGAGAGGAAAACCATATTTTGTAGAGGCAACAATGCAAAAGAAGAAAACCCTATTAAGTAGGGCATAAGAGATTTTTTCTCTCTTTAGTGTCTTTTGTAGGGTTAAAAGCCCAAATGATAACGTTGTTAAATAATCGGCTGAATAAAACATTATATTTTAAGCTAATACCTATACCCTAATACGCTACCTATCCTTCTTCTTCTTCTTCAGTCCCATTGCCACTTGAACTGAGTTGCTGCCACTCATCGCACTGCCATTCATTACCGCTCTACCATTTATTATCACTCTGCCATTCGCTATTGCTAGCCTCCATTTCTTTTGACCCTAATTCTTCATTCATAACCCATTATGTTTTTCGTTATAATTTCACAAAGGATTTTTGGGATCTTCAATATTTTTTGATACCGATAATAGTGATAAGTTATGCCCCCTAAAGAAGGCCTTATATGATCTTCAACACTTTTCAAGGACATGGTTTGAATGATTTTCCAAATCAATGTTTTCCTTAAGTTATAACACTATTACAAATAAATTTACTCTACTCTTGGTGTATGTGGAGGACATGATTATTGTGAAAATTATAAAAATAAGAAATCAACTTCAAAGAAAAATTGGCAACCCAATTTGAAATGGAATAGTTGAGAAAGCTTAGGTATTTCCTTGAAATAAAAGTTGTTTATTCAAAAAAGGGGATTTTTATCTCCAAAATATTTGTACCTGTAGAAAATTGGGAATGAAGAGAGCTTTCTTGCAGAAAAGACCCAATATCAGAGATTGGTAAGAAAACTTATGTATTACACACAAGACCAAGCAATGCTTTTGTAGTTAGTACAGTTAGTCAGTTTATTCATGATCTGAAAGAAAGGCATATGCAAGCAAGTGACAAAATTTAGTACTTGAAAGCCTATGAAAGGGGCTATCCTTCAAGAAAGAAGAAACTTTGACTATGAAGATATATACTGATGTTGCAGATTTTTGTTTCTAAAAGCAAATCTACCTTTGGGTACTATTTGTTCTTTTTGATAAAAGTCTGGTGATTTGGGAAGCTAAAAACAAGATACTCATTCAAGTCCAAAAGCCGAATTTTAAATCCTAACTCAAGGTGTGGATAAAGATCATACTAGATGACATTAAAATAAAGGTTGACATCCCTATGCAATGGTGTGTTTTAACAAGTCAACAATGACCATTTCTCTTAATCTAGTACAGCATAAAATGTCCAAACATACTGAATTGATAGACACTTCATCGAAGATAAACTTGACAGAGGTTTGGTGGTTACAACCTAGTCCTTACAAGACTCCAATTAGCATATATCTTCACCAAGGGACTTCTTTAGGAAGATTCCAAGATCTTGTATGAAGTAGGGAATGATTGATCTTTATTTAACAACTTAAGGGGGAGCCTTGCAGGTAGGGATTATTTAACAACTGTTATGGGCCTTGTCAAGAAAGAAGGAACACAATCAGAAATGTATACTGAATATCTTGTGCAGAATTATTTCAGCAATTGGGAGTACTGTACACCAACATCCGCATACAATGGAGACACTTCCTTTCACATAGGGTATTCCCTGTTTACACAATCAACATCCCCAGAGGGGTGAACTATAAATATACTTTCTCACAAAGTCTCTCGCAAAACTACTAACATGATGTACTATTTATTTTTAAATTTCTTTCTATATCGCACATTCCACTCTTTCTGATTATTTTCTTACCTAATATATACAAATATCTTAATTTATCGATATTAATTAGAACAAAATATCCTTAGAATCTTTGTATTCATTCCAATGGATTTAATTTCCTTTGTTTAATGTGATTGTTACTATTATAATATATAAGGAGCTAATCTTATATAATCAAGAATATAGTAATAATTATAAAAATAGGGAGGTAGAGGATAACAAATCTTCTCTATTTATTGTATTGATTCCTTTTTCTGAATATAAATAAAGTACCCATGCTGTTTCAGAAATACACAGTTTTAGCCCAATGTTTCTCTCTTCCTTGGAGTTTTAACAATTACAAATAGAGGAGCTCAAAAATGTAATGAGGTTGATTGAAATTAATAATTTATTTCTTTTTCCCTCTCATTATTCAATTATAGCCTTAGGTGTGAGGTTATTATAATGCTGCCTTAATTTTGGGCACTCCTAGTCCACCTTAGTTGTGTCTTCTTTTTGGTCTACCTTAATTGTAGCTTCAATGGTGGTGTTTAGTCTTGCATTGTGACTTTTGTATTCCCTTGATTACTCATCTCAGCAAGCAGTTTTCTTTTCCATCGCATCACTTAAGGTGTGTTTCTTACTAGCACATTTGTTTCTCTAGAAAACACTAGAACGGTGGCTACAAATCTTGGCTGCAGAAACCAATATGATGGAAATATGAGTGCCAATAGAGTGGATGTTTTGATCCCAGATGTAATTCAGGTATATTCAATTTCTTTCTATGAAATGTTTTATTGAAATATTCAAAATGCAATGAAGATGTTAGAAATTAGGCATCATAGAGACACTTTTCCATTCATTATCATGTGACCTGATTAGACATTGCATATTTCTATTTGAGAATAGATGTACTCTGAATTTGACATNTATTGAAGTTCCAAACTTGCTATGTTTTCACTCTTCAAAGCTAAACAGGCTCATCAACGGTGCTTTCAACTCCTCAAGACATGCTAGAACTCGTGGAAAATCTATACATGCTATGTCTTATCAAGTCTCATCAATGGTCCTTTCAACTCCTTCATGTTATTACCATATCTATTCTAGGAGGATGCCTAAGATCCTAGTGGTATAACCACCATAATTGGGATAGAAGCAATTGATACTAAGAAAGAAGAAGAAATTTTTTACTGAAAAATGTCAAGGAAATCAACTTGTTTTGACTCTAGAGCAAGAAAGGCTTTTGACTCGGAGGTGAGGAACCTTAGAGATAATAGTGAAGAAGTAAACTTAATGGGAATTTACCTATTGCATTCAAAAGAGAGAAAAAAACTGTGTTAAATATTCTATTTCTCAAAATGTCTGAATTAACAATCTCTCTAGTAGAATCAAAGCATTATTGTTGCCATTGATGCCACAAAAATTTCTACCTTAGTAGTCCAAGAAGCCATTAAAAGTGAACATTGGACTCAAGCCATGAAAGAGGAGATGAATGCAATAGAAAGAAACTCAACATGACAGACTATTGAAAGACTAAGACAAAAAGATTGTAGGATGCAAATGAATATTTATAATGAAGCATAAGGTGAATGTTTTACAGGTAAAACGCTTGATTAAGGGATATAGTCAAACTTATGAAATGGAATACGAGAAGTTATCTCTTATAGCCAAGATGAATACAATTTGAGTTGTTTTTGCTGTAGAAGCTAATAGTGGAAGAATTAGTTATAGTGTTATTGAGAATTGCTTATGGATGTGCCATGGTGGAAACGATGGCGGTTTTGTAGTTTGCCCCCACAACATGGTGGTGGCGATGTGGGTTTGTCATGGTAGCCGTTGGTGGTGGCGATGTGCGTTTGTCATGGCAACCCATGGTGGCGGCTGTTTTTCATCATGGTTAGCTAGCTTGGAACGAAGATGGTAGAAAAGGTTGAGAGGAAAACCATATTTTGTAGAGGCAACAATGCAAAAGAAGAAAACCCTATTAAGTAGGGCATAAGAGATTTTTTCTCTCTTTAGTGTCTTTTGTAGGGTTAAAAGCCCAAATGATAACGTTGTTAAATAATCGGCTGAATAAAACATTATATTTTAAGCTAATACCTATACCCTAATACGCTACCTATCCTTCTTCTTCTTCTTCAGTCCCATTGCCACTTGAAATGAGTTGCTGCCACTCATCGCACTGCCATTCATTACCGCTCTACCATTAATTATCACTCTGCCATTCGCTATTGCTAGCCTCCATTTCTTTTGACCCTAATTCTTCATTCATAACCCATTATGTTTTTCGTTATAATTTCACAAAGGATTTTTGGGATCTTCAATATTTTTTGATACCGATAATAGTGATAAGTTATGCCCCCTAAAGAAGGCCTTATATGATCTTCAACACTTTTCAAGGACATGGTTTGAATGATTTTCCAAATCAATGTTTTCCTTAAGTTATAACACTATTACAAATAAATTTACTCTACTCTTGGTGTATGTGGAGGACATGATTATTGTGAAAATTATAAAAATAAGAAATCAACTTCAAAGAAAAATTGGCAACCCAATTTGAAATGGAATAGTTGAGAAAGCTTAGGTATTTCCTTGAAATAAAAGTTGTTTATTCAAAAAAGGGGATTTTTATCTCCAAAATATTTGTACCTGTAGAAAATTGGGAATGAAGAGAGCTTTCTTGCAGAAAAGACCCAATATCAGAGATTGGTAAGAAAACTTATGTATTACACACAAGACCAAGCAATGCTTTTGTAGTTAGTACAGTTAGTCAGTTTATTCATGATCTGAAAGAAAGGCATATGCAAGCAAGTGACAAAATTTAGTACTTGAAAGCCTATGAAAGGGGCTATCCTTCAAGAAAGAAGAAACTTTGACTATNTAGGGAGGTCTTGTAGACATTACTCGTAGACCCAACTCATAGACTTGTAAGAGTCATCAATATCAAAAAGAGAATATAGACCATACTAGTTCAAAATTTAAACACCTTATTTAATCAATAGTTCCATAATTCTAAAATAACTAAGTTTAACACACATGACTATTATATAAGTTCAAACTATTCTCAATACATGAGTTCATACAATCATGAAAAAGCAATTTGTAAGGCCACCATAAAATTTAAATAACTAAAAGTGGAAAAATATCTTATCCTTTAATGATATCATCTCAAAGATCATCATCATCTTCATCACCGTCTAGCTCTACCTTAGATAATAAGTGTGCTACATCAATATTGCCAAAAAAAACTGTAATGACAAGATCAAATGCTTCTAGAATTTGACTAATTGAACTTTGTTCAATTATGGCAACATTTTCACCATACTTTCACCTTGAACTTGCTCAATCTCAACATTATCCCCATCTTTATTTATATATTTATCATCCGACTCATTATCATAAAATAGGAGAACAACAATTTTTCTAATTTGTTTATTTTTAAGCTCTAAGTTATCCTTGACATAAATAAAGTCATTGATCTTTTTCTGATGCAAACTGTTTCTTCTTTTTGTATGAACCTATAAATACATATGAACTTTTAAAAACTATATAAACCAAATAAAGAAAATTAAAAACCAATAATAACTTGGCAAACTTAAATTACCATTTCAAATGAGCTCCGATTACATTCATGACCAGAGGAACTGCATGTCAAACTCAAAACTCGAATAGCAAATCTATTCAATTATGGAGTTCCATCCCCAAACATTTCCTACAATCTTTTTGCATTTTCTGTAGAAAAAGGTTCTCTAGTATAATGAAAGTCATTAAGTTGCAAATTAGTTATTTTCCTTTCTGCAACGTTCTCAACCAATCCTCTCATGTATATATACAACCTTTCTTTTAACTTAGGGTCATGATTTCTGAAATTAGGTTCATTGTAAAAGTTCGGGTTAAGGTAATATGTAGCCGCATGTAACCTTTGAAGCTAATTATCCCACCTCTCATAAATTGTTTTCCAAATAGGTTCTTAACTATGCAAGTACCACTGATTCTATGATAGAAATAATTACAAAAAATAAATAATTAAATTTTAAAAGAGAAAAGGTTTAGAAATTTTACCTTAATATTATTAAGTTAAGTTTCATCTTCTCTTTGCACAATCCATTTCTTCATATATGACATCATTGCGGGTTTTATATCTAAATCCACTAGTCAAAGGATTACATTGAAAGGGGCAACAACTTTGAGGCAAGTGGTTACATTCTTCCAAACTCGACTATCTATTCACAACTTTTCTTCCCTATATTGAAGTTCCAAACTTGCTATGTTTTCACTCTTCAAAGCTAAACAGGCTCATCAACGGTGCTTTCAACTCCTCAAGACATGCTAGAACTCGTGGAAAATCTATACATGCTATGTCTTATCAAGTCTCATCAATGGTCCTTTCAACTCCTTCATGTTATTACCATATCTATTCTAGGAGGATGCCTAAGATCCTAGTGGTATAACCACCATAATTGGGATAGAAGCAATTGATACTAAGAAAGAAGAAGAAATTTTTTACTGAAAAATGTCAAGGAAATCAACTTGTTTTGACTCTAGAGCAAGAAAGGCTTTTGACTCGGAGGTGAGGAACCTTAGAGATAATAGTGAAGAAGTAAACTTACTGGGAATTTACCTATTGCATTCAAAAGAGAGAAAAAAACTGTGTTAAATATTCTATTTCTCAAAATGTCTGCATTAACAATCTCTCTAGTAGAATCAAAGCATTATTGTTGCCATTGATGCCACAAAAATTTCTACCTTAGTAGTCCAAGAAGCCATTAAAAGTGAACATTGGACTCAAGCCATGAAAGAGGAGATGAATGCAATAGAAAGAAACTCAACATGACAGACTATTGACAGACTAAGACAAAAAGATTGTAGGATGCAAATGAATATTTATAATGAAGCATAAGGTGAATGTTTTACAGGTAAAACGCTTGATTAAGGGATATAGTCAAACTTATGAAATGGAATACGAGAAGTTATCTCTTATAGCCAAGATGAATACAATTTGAGTTGTTTTTGCTGTAGAAGCTAATAGTGGAAGAATTAGTTATAGTGTTATTGAGAATTGCTTATGGATGTGCCATGGTGGAAACGATGGCGGTTTTGTAGTTTGCCCCCACAACATGGTGGTGGCGATGTGGGTTTGTCATGGTAGCCGTTGGTGGTGGCGATGTGCGTTTGTCATGGCAACCCATGGTGGCGGCTGTTTTTCATCATGGTTAGCTAGCTTGGAACGAAGATGGTAGAAAAGGTTGAGAGGAAAACCATATTTTGTAGAGGCAACAATGCAAAAGAAGAAAACCCTATTAAGTAGGGCATAAGAGATTTTTTCTCTCTTTAGTGTCTTTTGTAGGGTTAAAAGCCCAAATGATAACGTTGTTAAATAATCGGCTGAATAAAACATTATATTTTAAGCTAATACCTATACCCTAATACGCTACCTATCCTTCTTCTTCTTCTTCAGTCCCATTGCCACTTGAACTGAGTTGCTGCCACTCATCGCACTGCCATTCATTACCGCTCTACCATTTATTATCACTCTGCCATTCGCTATTGCTAGCCTCCATTTCTTTTGACCCTAATTCTTCATTCATAACCCATTATGTTTTTCGTTATAATTTCACAAAGGATTTTTGGGATCTTCAATATTTTTTGATACCGATAATAGTGATAAGTTATGCCCCCTAAAGAAGGCCTTATATGATCTTCAACACTTTTCAAGGACATGGTTTGAATGATTTTCCAAATCAATGTTTTCCTTAAGTTATAACACTATTACAAATAAATTTACTCTACTCTTGGTGTATGTGGAGGACATGATTATTGTGAAAATTATAAAAATAAGAAATCAACTTCAAAGAAAAATTGGCAACCCAATTTGAAATGGAATAGTTGAGAAAGCTTAGGTATTTCCTTGAAATAAAAGTTGTTTATTCAAAAAAGGGGATTTTTATCTCCAAAATATTTGTACCTGTAGAAAATTGGGAATGAAGAGAGCTTTCTTGCAGAAAAGACCCAATATCAGAGATTGGTAAGAAAACTTATGTATTACACACAAGACCAAGCAATGCTTTTGTAGTTAGTACAGTTAGTCAGTTTATTCATGATCTGAAAGAAAGGCATATGCAAGCAAGTGACAAAATTTAGTACTTGAAAGCCTATGAAAGGGGCTATCCTTCAAGAAAGAAGAAACTTTGACTATGAAGATATATACTGATGTTGCAGATTTTTGTTTCTAAAAGCAAATCTACCTTTGGGTACTATTTGTTCTTTTTGATAAAAGTCTGGTGATTTGGGAAGCTAAAAACAAGATACTCATTCAAGTCCAAAAGCCGAATTTTAAATCCTAACTCAAGGTGTGGATAAAGATCATACTAGATGACATTAAAATAAAGGTTGACATCCCTATGCAATGGTGTGTTTTAACAAGTCAACAATGACCATTTCTCTTAATCTAGTACAGCATAAAATGTCCAAACATACTGAATTGATAGACACTTCATCGAAGATAAACTTGACAGAGGTTTGGTGGTTACAACCTAGTCCTTACAAGACTCCAATTAGCATATATCTTCACCAAGGGACTTCTTTAGGAAGATTCCAAGATCTTGTATGAAGTAGGGAATGATTGATCTTTATTTAACAACTTAAGGGGGAGCCTTGCAGGTAGGGATTATTTAACAACTGTTATGGGCCTTGTCAAGAAAGAAGGAACACAATCAGAAATGTATACTGAATATCTTGTGCAGAATTATTTCAGCAATTGGGAGTACTGTACACCAACATCCGCATACAATGGAGACACTTCCTTTCACATAGGGTATTCCCTGTTTACACAATCAACATCCCCAGAGGGGTGAACTATAAATATACTTTCTCACAAAGTCTCTCGCAAAACTACTAACATGATGTACTATTTATTTTTAAATTTCTTTCTATATCGCACATTCCACTCTTTCTGATTATTTTCTTACCTAATATATACAAATATCTTAATTTATCGATATTAATTAGAACAAAATATCCTTAGAATCTTTGTATTCATTCCAATGGATTTAATTTCCTTTGTTTAATGTGATTGTTACTATTATAATATATAAGGAGCTAATCTTATATAATCAAGAATATAGTAATAATTATAAAAATAGGGAGGTAGAGGATAACAAATCTTCTCTATTTATTGTATTGATTCCTTTTTCTGAATATAAATAAAGTACCCATGCTGTTTCAGAAATACACAGTTTTAGCCCAATGTTTCTCTCTTCCTTGGAGTTTTAACAATTACAAATAGAGGAGCTCAAAAATGTAATGAGGTTGATTGAAATTAATAATTTATTTCTTTTTCCCTCTCATTATTCAATTATAGCCTTAGGTGTGAGGTTATTATAATGCTGCCTTAATTTTGGGCACTCCTAGTCCACCTTAGTTGTGTCTTCTTTTTGGTCTACCTTAATTGTAGCTTCAATGGTGGTGTTTAGTCTTGCATTGTGACTTTTGTATTCCCTTGATTACTCATCTCAGCAAGCAGTTTTCTTTTCCATCGCATCACTTAAGGTGTGTTTCTTACTAGCACATTTGTTTCTCTAGAAAACACTAGAACGGTGGCTACAAATCTTGGCTGCAGAAACCAATATGATGGAAATATGAGTGCCAATAGAGTGGATGTTTTGATCCCAGATGTAATTCAGGTATATTCAATTTCTTTCTATGAAATGTTTTATTGAAATATTCAAAATGCAATGAAGATGTTAGAAATTAGGCATCATAGAGACACTTTTCCATTCATTATCATGTGACCTGATTAGACATTGCATATTTCTATTTGAGAATAGATGTACTCTGAATTTGACATATTTCACTACAAGGTACCTTTCTGAAGTATTTTTTCTTTCTTTTACTTAATTTTAAGTTGATTAGCTTATTAATATGTTACTATATCATGGCTAGTGCGAACTTCTAGTGGGTGGATAAGTGTTGGTACCTTTAGTTTGCGAGGGTTCAAAATGAAATGTGCCTCAAGTTTATTCTTATACTTTTATCTTTTATTTTTCTTTCCTTAAGTTTTCCTATTTTTAAAATCTGGTTGCTTCTAATGATAGTCTACAGAAAAAGTCCTTGTTTTGGAATACATGGATGGCATTCGGTTGAATGATCTAGAATCACTAGAAGCTTTTGGAGTAAATAAACAAAAGATTGTCGAGGAGATTACTCGTGCCTATGCCCACCAAATATATGTAGATGGGTTTTTCAATGGTGATCCACATCCAGGTACTTTGTCTCTCTCCCTCTATGTTTATGCTTTGTGTGCTGGTGCAAATGATGTACACATGTATGGCATTTTCAGTTTTTTGTTGAAACTTTATGAGAACATTCTGTAAACTTGTAAATTATTCCATTTGATTGGGAAAGTTTGGTTCTACTACAGGAAATTTTCTTGTGAGCAAAGAATCTCCTCATCGTCCCATTTTACTTGACTTTGGGCTTACAAAGAGACTATCAAGCACCATTAAGCAAGCGCTTGCAAAGATGTTTTTGGCCTCTACTGAGGTTGGTTCATGCTTTAATGTTGTTCATGTTTATAGATATTAATAATATCATATATATCTAGTGGTTATAACTTTCATTTCTGGTGAAGGTGGGCTGGCTTGGATCCTAGCTACCTCTTTCCCATCTCACCTCATTTTTTATTGTAAAGTGACTTGAGCTGCTAGCTGATCCAATCTTTGGTTTTAGAGAGGAGTGTAGTAAATCAGGCCAAAGTTTAGATGAATGTATCTTAGTGAATGTTAAAAAGTGGGCTTGAAGCCTAATTTAGTCTTACAAAACCGGTTTGTAAAGTGAGGTTTGCATTTACTTATATACTATAAAGTCGTCTTATCTCTAGTCGATGTGAGATCTCTAACACATCCCCCTCACTCGAGACATATGCATCTTGAGCATAAGACTATACATTTAATGGGTAGTCTGATAGCGGTCCGATTGCGGGTGAAACAATAGACCTAACAAATAACAAATCTCGCTATGATAAACTTTAACACATGACTTTAAGAAGTGGACTTTCATGAGAGGACCAAACACATTGAAAGTGACATGTCCCTATGTTAATTGTTATTTTTACATATTCATTTGTAGTTGGGTTTAGCCCACATTCTCTTCATTATAAATATATTACCCTATGTGTGTTTTCTACACAAAAGAGATTAACCCCTAAACCTAGTTTTTCACTAATTTCAACAGCGAAGATTTTTGTGGTTTAGTTTTGTTATAATTTGAGATAATATCTTTAGAATCTTCCTAATTAGAGGAAATAGATATATAATCNATTATCACTCTGCCATTCGCTATTGCTAGCCTCCATTTCTTTTGACCCTAATTCTTCATTCATAACCCATTATGTTTTTCGTTATAATTTCACAAAGGATTTTTGGGATCTTCAATATTTTTTGATACCGATAATAGTGATAAGTTATGCCCCCTAAAGAAGGCCTTATATGATCTTCAACACTTTTCAAGGACATGGTTTGAATGATTTTCCAAATCAATGTTTTCCTTAAGTTATAACACTATTACAAATGAATTTACTCTACTCTTGGTGTATGTGGAGGACATGATTATTGTGAAAATTATAAAAATAAGAAATCAACTTCAAAGAAAAATTGGCAACCCAATTTGAAATGGAATAGTTGAGAAAGCTTAGGTATTTCCTTGAAATAAAAGTTGTTTATTCAAAAAAGGGGATTTTTATCTCCAAAATATTTGTACCTGTAGAAAATTGGGAATGAAGAGAGCTTTCTTGCAGAAAAGACCCAATATCAGAGATTGGTAAGAAAACTTATGTATTACACACAAGACCAAGCAATGCTTTTGTAGTTAGTACAGTTAGTCAGTTTATTCATGATCTGAAAGAAAGGCATATGCAAGCAAGTGACAAAATTTAGTACTTGAAAGCCTATGAAAGGGGCTATCCTTCAAGAAAGAAGAAACTTAGACTATGAAGATATATACTGATATTGCAGATTTTTGTTTCTAAAAGCAAATCTACCTTTGGGTACTATTTGTTCTTTTTGATAAAAGTCTGGTGATTTGGGAAGCTAAAAACAAGATACTCATTCAAGTCCAAAAGCCGAATTTTAAATCCTAACTCAAGGTGTGGATAAAGATCATACTAGATGACATTAAAATAAAGGTTGACATCCCTATGCAATGGTGTGTTTTAACAAGTCAACAATGACCATTTCTCTTAATCTAGTACAGCATAAAATGTCCAAACATACTGAATTGATAGACACTTCATCGAAGATAAACTTGACAGAGGTTTGGTGGTTACAACCTAGTCCTTACAAGACTCCAATTAGCATATATCTTCACCAAGGGACTTCTTTAGGAAGATTCCAAGATCTTGTATGAAGTAGGGAATGATTGATCTTTATTTAACAACTTAAGGGGGAGCCTTGCAGGTAGGGATTATTTAACAACTGTTATGGGCCTTGTCAAGAAAGAAGGAACACAATCAGAAATGTATACTGAATATCTTGTGCAGAATTATTTCAGCAATTGGGAGTACTGTACACCAACATCCGCATACAATGGAGACACTTCCTTTCACATAGGGTATTCCCTGTTTACACAATCAACATCCCCAGAGGGGTGAACTATAAATATACTTTCTCACAAAGTCTCTCGCAAAACTACTAACATGATGTACTATTTATTTTTAAATTTCTTTCTATATCACACATTCCACTCTTTCTGATTATTTTCTTACCTAATATATACAAATATCTTAATTTATCGATATTAATTAGAACAAAATATCCTTAGAATCTTTGTATTCATTCCAATGGATTTAATTTCCTTTGTTTAATGTGATTGTTACTATTATAATATATAAGGAGCTAATCTTATATAATCAAGAATATAGTAATAATTATAAAAATAGGGAGGTAGAGGATAACAAATCTTCTCTATTTATTGTATTGATTCCTTTTTCTGAATATAAATAAAGTACCCATGCTGTTTCAGAAATACACAGTTTTAGCCCAATGTTTCTCTCTTCCTTGGAGTTTTAACAATTACAAATAGAGGAGCTCAAAAATGTAATGAGGTTGATTGAAATTAATAATATATTTCTTTTTCCCTCTCATTATTCAATTATAGCCTTAGGTGTGAGGTTATTATAATGCTGCCTTAATTTTGGGCACTCCTAGTCCACCTTAGTTGTGTCTTCTTTTTGGTCTACCTTAATTGTAGCTTCAATGGTGGTGTTTAGTCTTGCATTGTGACTTTTGTATTCCCTTGATTACTCATCTCAGCAAGCAGTTTTCTTTTCCATCGCATCACTTAAGGTGTGTTTCTTACTAGCACATTTGTTTCTCTAGAAAACACTAGAACGGTGGCTACAAATCTTGGCTGCAGAAACCAATATGATGGAAATATGAGTGCCAATAGAGTGGATGTTTTGATCCCAGATGTAATTCAGGTATATTCAATTTCTTTCTATGAAATGTTTTATTGAAATATTAAAAATGCAATGAAGATGTTAGAAATTAGGCATCATAGAGACACTTTTCCATTCATTATCATGTGACCTGATTAGACATTGCATATTTCTATTTGAGAATAGATGTACTCTGAATTTGACATATTTCACTACAAGGTACCTTTCTGAAGTATTTTTTCTTTCTTTTACTTAATTTTAAGTTGATTAGCTTATTAATATGTTACTATATCATGGCTAGTGCGAACTTCTAGTGGGTGGATAAGTGTTGGTACCTTTAGTTTGCGAGGGTTCAAAATGAAATGTGCCTCAAGTTTATTCTTATACTTTTATCTTTTATTTTTCTTTCCTTAAGTTTTCCTATTTTTAAAATCTGGTTGCTTCTAATGATAGTCTACAGAAAAAGTCCTTGTTTTGGAATACATGGATGGCATTCGGTTGAATGATCTAGAATCACTAGAAGCTTTTGGAGTAAATAAACAAAAGATTGTCGAGGAGATTACTCGTGCCTATGCCCACCAAATATATGTAGATGGGTTTTTCAATGGTGATCCACATCCAGGTACTTTGTCTCTCTCCCTCTATGTTTATGCTTTGTGTGCTGGTGCAAATGATGTACACATGTATGGCATTTTCAGTTTTTTGTTGAAACTTTATGAGAACATTCTGTAAACTTGTAAATTATTCCATTTGATTGGGAAAGTTTGGTTCTACTACAGGAAATTTTCTTGTGAGCAAAGAATCTCCTCATCGTCCCATTTTACTTGACTTTGGGCTTACAAAGAGACTATCAAGCACCATTAAGCAAGCGCTTGCAAAGATGTTTTTGGCCTCTACTGAGGTTGGTTCATGCTTTAATGTTGTTCATGTTTATAGATATTAATAATATCATATATATCTAGTGGTTATAACTTTCATTTCTGGTGAAGGTGGGCTGGCTTGGATCCTAGCTACCTCTTTCCCATCTCACCTCATTTTTTATTGTAAAGTGACTTGAGCTGCTAGCTGATCCAATCTTTGGTTTTAGAGAGGAGTGTAGTAAATCAGGCCAAAGTTTAGATGAATGTATCTTAGTGAATGTTAAAAAGTGGGCTTGAAGCCTAATTTAGTCTTACAAAACCGGTTTGTAAAGTGAGGTTTGCATTTACTTATATACTATAAAGTCGTCTTATCTCTAGTCGATATGAGATCTCTAACACATCCCCCTCACTCGAGACATATGCATCTTGAGCATAAGACTATACATTTAATGGGTAGTCTGATAGCGGTCCGATAGCGGGTGAAACAATAGACCTAACAAATAACAAATCTCGCTATGATAAACTTTAACACATGACTTTAAGAAGTGGACTTTCATGAGAGGACCAAACACATTGAAAGTGACATGTCCCTATGTTAATTGTTATTTTTACATATTCATTTGTAGTTGGGTTTAGCCCACATTCTCTTCATTATAAATATATTACCCTATGTGTGTTTTCTACACAAAAGAGATTAACCCCTAAACCTAGTTTTTCACTAATTTCAACAGCGAAGATTTTTGTGGTTTAGTTTTGTTATAATTTGAGATAATATCTTTAGAATCTTCCTAATTAGAGGAAATAGATATATAATCTTTTATTTTATTTTACTTTACTAGTTTACCTATTTCCCTTTTTAGGAGAATTAGATTATAACAAATAGAGAGTATCAGAATGTATTTTTTATAATTGAGAATAATAAATCAGTCTTATTTTTCAACTAGTTTAATCATATTGTATTAAGTGTTAATGTTTTCAGATAAACTTATTTGGTTTTCATATGCTATAATTAGTTGTAATTCTCAAGTTTAGGAATAATATGTCATATTTTATTTGATGAGATACGTCAGATTTATATATAGAGGAGCCTGACAATTTAAAGAAATAGGGAAAACTTATTCTAGGGGACAAATTCCTGTGATTATGGGAAGTCTTCTACATATACGTCCTGGAATTAATAGTGAGATACTGTAACGATATAGAGTAAAACTTCCTAGAATGTATCCGCAACAATCACAGTTTTGACAGTACTCGCTGCATAATTTTGGTTCATCTATTTGACATGGTGTTAAGGTCACTGTTTCATAAATTGGCTGCACTTTGATCTTCATGACGTACATTTTCTACATTTTTCCAATGATAAGTTAAGAAAAAAATTGATGCTTTTACATGGCAATGTTTTCCCTGCAACACTTTGGCTTCTAAGGACTTGTTAGAGGCACAAAGGCCATTTTCCTAACATCACCTAGGTACGTAGAAAAGCAAGCTATTTGATTGGGTATGGGTGGTTTTGTACTAGTNAGGGGACAAATTCCTGTGATTATGGGAAGTCTTCTACATATACGTCCTGGAATTAATAGTGAGATACTGTAACGATATAGAGTAAAACTTCCTAGAATGTATCCGCAACAATCACAGTTTTGACAGTACTCGCTGCATAATTTTGGTTCATCTATTTGACATGGTGTTAAGGTCACTGTTTCATAAATTGGCTGCACTTTGATCTTCATGACGTACATTTTCTACATTTTTCCAATGATAAGTTAAGAAAAAAATTGATGCTTTTACATGGCAATGTTTTCCCTGCAACACTTTGGCTTCTAAGGAATTGTTAGAGGCACAAAGGCCATTTTCCTAACATCACCTAGGTACGTAGAAAAGCAAGCTATTTGATTGGGTATGGGTGGTTTTGTACTAGTGCACTCATGGCAAAAGGCTCACAATCATCTGTTTTTAATATTCAGGAACTAAAGCTTTTAATATGTCAAGTTCATCTTTACTTTAGTAACATTTTTTTTTTCATTTTATGTATTATAGTTTTTATTGAATTGTTAGTATATGTACAAGTTTCCCTTAATTGCTCAAGATGATCTTTCAAAACAATGACTGAGTATGCAAGCCCTTTTGTTAAAGGGGGACCATGTGGCCCTTCTGTCTGCTTTTGCAGAAATGGGGCTTAAGTTGCGGCTGGACATGCCAGAGCAGGCAATGGAAGTAACAACTGTATTCTTTCGTTCGACAACACCCGCAAATGAATACCATGTAAGTGTTCCTTTACCTCAAGTATAGTTTGGTTTGTTCAGTTTTCAGACATTTAGCTTCTCCCTAATTATAGTGTATTTTTCCGTTACTAAGAAAACAATGAAATCTCTGGCTGAACAAAGGGACAAAAATATGAAGGTTATACAGGAAAAAATGAAGCTTGACAAAAAGGAAATGAAACGCTTTAATCCTGTGAGTTCAGATTGCATTTTCCAATTGTTCCGAAATTATTTTACTAATCGTATTTTAGGTACAATATAAATTCTTTATAAAAATATTTTGACAGGTTGATGCATTTCCTGGTGATATTGTAATATTTGGAAGGGTTCTTAATCTTCTAAGAGGTCTGCTGTTTTCCACTGGATACCTTGGTAATGCTTATTTTCTCCCCACGTCTTATTTTACTTACCTGATGTGGTTGTAGGTCTTTCATCCTCCATGAATGTACGAATAATATATATGGACATTATGAGGCCATTTGCAGAGTCAGTTTTGAGTGGGTGAGTCTTTTGAAATATTTTCTGATTGGTATTTATTACATGCTTATTTCATTTGCGGCTGAACTTTGGCACACTTGTCAGATACATCAGTAGAGGACCATCAGTAAATGACAGATGGATTTATGATTCACCAGTTCATTCTGAAGTAGAATCCAAACTGAGGCAGCTTTTAATTGAGTTGGGAAACAATGATAAAATACTTGGAGTCCAGGTGCACGTTGTTATTCTTAATTGATTTGTAGAAATAATTTCTTTATTGATTCTAGTGGTAACAGCTGGCAAGTACAATTTAAAAGAAAAACAGAGGGAGACTATCTGAAGCAGAGCATATTATATTTTAGAGATGCTGAAAACTGTGTATGAACCACACAATAGAGTTCATTTTAATAGTCTGCTGACCATAACTACAATAATTATAGAATATTTTTCTACTATATACATCATATGATATGCCTATAAGTCATATTCTAATGAAATATTCCTAAAACAATAAAGATCCTAAATAAATAATTAAATAAATAAAAATATAAAGAAGAAAAAAACCTAAGATCATGTAAGTTACCCCAATATTTTCTAAAGATAATTTCTTAATTTATTTATGACAGAGAAAAATTCCCTAATCATAGGTTGTTATAATCATAGAAATAAGGAGCTCCACTTTAGGGTACTATGTTCCTACTAGAGGTAATTGTGGAAAAGTAAGACAAAATGTTGCGGAAGTAACAAGTGTAGAAGTAGAATTCAGGGAGGGTAATGACATTAATAACTTGTGAGTTCACATGGCTGAAACAACTCCTCAAAAATCTTAAATTTGAAGAAAGTTCCCAAATGGACCTTGTATGTAACAATCAGGCTTACACATTGTCTCTAATCCTGTCTTTTATGAGAGGACAAAAATTATTTAGGTGGATTGTCATTTCATAAGAGAAAACTCTAGTTTAGAGATGTCATCACTAGATTTATCAACTCTAATAAACAATTGACTGACATATTCACCAAGTACTTAGGATAGGCGGGAAATAATTACTATCCTAGATGGAAAGAGGTGAAGAACTGGAGCTGACCGATTGAAGAGTTACTATCTTAACTATTGTAACAGTTAGGATAGGCGGGAAATAATTATAGTAAATAGAGCTATATTCTAGGGAAATATTAAGTATAAGATAATTATAGTAAATAGAACTATATTCTAGTGAAATATTTAATATAAATTAGAGCTAGATTCTAGTATTAGGGTTATGCTTTTGATTATTGAGTTTGTTAACAGGCGGCTACAGTCGTGTGAGGGAGGTTATGCTCCCAACTATCCTTGTTTAGAGAATTCTATTACCATTAATAAGAGAAGTTCATTCTTTCATTATCTTTTCTACCTACTGTGATCGTGGTTAATTACGATTCCTACTCAGGAACCTAACAATGTACGACTAGGAATGTTAAAATAAAAGAAATAAGGAGCTAATCCTATATAATAAATATTTAAATTACATATTTTTTATTGAATTGAGATATATAAAGCTTGCATTGGGATATTTATAATAATACCAATATCTAATAATTAGAGTCAGAATTATTAGAACATATTTTATAAACATCTCATATCATGTATTTATTATCATCAGCTTATATGAAAGGAACTCTTTTGTGGCGTCCACACAGCTGGCAGTTTATCTGCACAAGATCAGAGACTGGAGTGTACTGAACTTTATTGAAAGCAATAATTATTGAAATTTATAATCAATAATTATAGATTTATGTTAGAATTGTAGAGACAGAAACTGAGAAAATTGAAAGTATGTTTTTATTGAACTTACAGAAGAATGCAAAGGAGCTCTTCATGTGGAGCAATGAACAAAGGGATAAGATATGAGATCATATATAATTATATTACTGAATATGATCCAACTATATAACAAATTTACAGTTGGACGACTTCAAAAGTTAAACTCTAGCGGATGAAAATAAAGTGCAATTATTGGGCTTCTTATCAGTAACTCAAGCTTTTGGGATAGTTTATCCTTGATAATGAATTAGAGTCTCTATGATCGTCTGATTAGGATTTCGATCCTTGTAGTTCCCGTTCTTCTAAAGAAACTTGAATTTCAGCGTTTAGAGTGGGCTTGGACATTTTCCATCCTTCAAGCGCAAAGGATTCGTATATGAGGGGGCATGTTTCATACATCAACCAATATTGGGCTTTCATCTAATAAGTTAAGCTTTTAGGATAGTTGCCATATTGAAAGAAATTTTATATATTCTGGGCTTTCTCTTTTTTAGATGTATATATTGCGAGAAATATCTATATTCAGACTAGTATGTATTTTAGAAATAGAAGGCATCTAATAGTTTATGTCCCTATCGAATTTACCATTTTTTGTCTTTACTTTTTACAAAATCTGTTTTAGTCCCTCACTATCACATCAAGAGCGAACACATTATTTTTTAACTTTTAAATAAGGGATTAAAACAAAAATAAGCCATATTTGTAATGCACTGAATTTAGACTTTATCTGAGCCTTTATGGTGTCGGGAGTTGGGACCACATGATAATTGATAGGACTACGAGTTTCTATGTTAGGAGAAAGGGAGTTAAAAAACAGAACATAGGTTGTTAGGAGGTTTGGGGTTGTTATAGTTTTCCTAGGGAGAAGACTATAGATAGGAGGGAGGGGTGTCTTGTAAAGGGGACGTTGTTTTGTAATTGAGAAGCATAGAGAGGGTCTGTAACATCCTGTGAGAAGGGAAGCGTTGTCCCTTGGCTGTATTCCAACATCCTGTTTGTTTTTGAAGTAATAAAAAGCTGTTTCCAGTTTTAAGTCTGAGTTTATGTTGTTTTTCTGGACCAAACCAGAACCAACAAGGTTTCTTGTCACCAAGAAACCTAACAATAATAATAGTACTTCTACTTTCCAAAAGCATACATGCTGCTTAAGAAATGTAATTACGATAATTATATTCTCTGGTAAATTGCATTCTTATCTATTCCTTTGAAATAATCCTGACTATACTTTCCCTTGGTTGAGAGCTTTTCACTCAAGTAATCTCACTCAATCATCGTTTTAAATTCTGTTTTTATTCACTCAAATATTCTTTCCGGCCTCAAATCTTTTGTATACATATTATATATTGATGAGAATCCATGGTTAAGAGAATCTTTACATTCCCTTGTTTTAGTGTCTCGGTCTACTACTGTTGTTGAGCTAAATGTTCCATTTTTGTTTTAAACATAATTGAGGGTTCACATTCTTGACTCTTATTGTTGGTGTTGTTGCATATGATATCAAGAGTCAAACAAATAGGTTATGTATTTTTCAATTGTTTTAATAAATTCTGAATAATCTCTTAAAGGTATGTGCATACAAAGATGAAGAGGTCATTATTGACACTGCTGCAGGAGTACTTGGTAAATATGATCCGCGTCCAGTTAAGCCTGATAGCCTTTTTCCAGTATTCTCTGTTACAAAGGGTATCACAGCAGGAATGGTACATTGGATGGTTGACAATGGGTATGTTGTAAAATTCTAAGACCATATAGTTTGTGTACACCTCTTTTGTTGCTATAATTTCTTGTTTGTTAGAATATAAAGTTTTAATCTCACATAGAAAAGGGACTATAGGTAGAGATATCAAAATGTGTTTCAACTCGTAAGCCAACCCGACATACCATAGATTCGAACCTGGTTGAGTTAGAAAAAATGTACATTTTTTAAATATGGGTGAAATTGGACCTAACTCACTTAATCAACATGTTAAACAGGTTCAAGCCGAGTTGAAGGTGTGTTGGTTTGCAACCCACCAACAACAACCCTTTATTAAATTTTTATCATTTTTTCACAACTTTTTATTATAATTATTCACTACTAATTGTGTAGGTTGACAATTTGATTTTTTAAAATACTAGAATGATGTTCAATAATATTTGAATAGTTTGGATGTTTAATTTATTTGTTTGTTAAGTTATGTAACTTAACACTTTAATATTCAACAACTATATTTATAATAATGTTTGGTAAAATAGGTGAACACTTTGATTGTACTCCTAAAAAATACTGCTATAAAATAATGACCACTGACTACTCCACTGACATTTGCTTTATAACTTACATTTCATGTAACCATAGTAGTTAATCCCAAATTGTTGTGCATAGCGGTTGACCACAAAATTCCTCTAGAACATAGCAGGATGACTGCTATTTTGAAATTTAAGATACACAACATAAATTATATTGCACGTACAGCAGGAAGAAAAAAAGAAAGTAAATACCTGACATTGAAGTCATATAAAAAAGGGCTTGGAACAGTAAACTCACTTTTTACATTCATCAGCATTTATTGATTCACACACACATATGAGCATGTTCTTCCATAATTAATTCAGCCTTTATGCTGATGATTACAATGATCGCTTCACTAAGCTTTGACTTGTGACTGACACAATTTATGCATTAATCAAGACTTTAATCATCTGTTGGATTGATATTTGTATGATTACACTTAAGATAAATCTTATAATTGTAGAAATAAGGAATATTAGGAGTGTTTTTATTTATTCCGGTATCATATACTTTTTTATTAGAGGATACCAAATCTCCTCTATTTTTTTTATTGATTCCTTTCTATCAATATAATTAAAAGCACCATTGTTGTCTAAAAAGCACACAGTTTCAACTCAACGTTTCTCTCTTTCCTAGAGTAAAATATAAATTTATCCATATTTTTTGACTGTCTTTTTCTATGCTTTAATTATTTAAGAAAGATTACCCATGGAATCTAGTTGTTGTAAGTAATTACTCAGTTTTAAATACTATCAAAGTTCGTATGTTAGTACCAGTTTTGTTAATCAGGAATGCTTTCTTTGATTTAATTAAGATTCCTGTTTGTAAATTGTTATTGAAAGTTTAAAATCATATTTCATGCTCTATTTGAATTTGTAACGTCATGTTCTCTCTGTGCTTTTAACCTGAAATAAGTGTCTGCTTGATTATTGTCTTGCAGACAACTAAACCTTGAAGACAATGTAGCAAATATATGGCCAGGATTTGGATCAAATGGGAAGGATCTCATTAAGGTCTGATATTGAATTTTCTCCATACTAAAGTTTTGTGGCTATTATTTTTAATGATAATAATCAGAGAGTAATGCTGAAGGGAGAGGGATGCTGTAGAAAAATTATTATCTAGTTTTCTAATGAGAAAGGAATGTTGATGTGAAAGAGATGCTGTAAAAAAAGTATTATCTAATTTTCTAATGAGAAAGTGATAGTGTCAGGGTTTAAGTCAGGAAAAGGGG